CGGATTTACCTTCAAGAGGACAATTGTAATGTGGGACCAGGACACACCCATTTGGACAGGTGAAACTGGTGACACAAAGCTGGAATAAAAAGGAGAATGATTGTGGTTCATTATGACTTGGCATGTCAAAAGAGCATGAGGGAGTTAGGAACACCACTAACCTGGGGGACCTAATTCTGACCCACTGACTCCAATGAGTGATACCGATTTACAGCAGCTGGGGATCTGGCCAATTGAGTCCAGTGGAGCTACAGGTGATTCACATTAGCTACTGATTGGGGCCATTGACTCCAATGGAGCTACAGACAATTCAGCCCAGCTGTGGGTCTGGCCCATAAACTATAAGGCCAGAAAGGAGTATTCAGCACATTTAGTCTGACATATTGTCGGCCAGGGAACCTTTCCCATGGTTCCTGCATTGTGCCCAACTCCGCGTGTTAAAATGATAACATTCGGTTCTGGAGGTTGACATTAAGAAAGGACCAGAGACAAAGAGACAAAACTAGAAGTATTGGATACAACCATCAGGTCTAAAACACCCCCACTAAATGAACCAATGCAGTCACATCCAGGATTCTCCCCCGGGAATATTGCTATAGCCACAGGGACCACGTTACACACCTAACCGGTCACTGATGTACAAGTGCCCATTGGCAAACACTCCCCAGAGTTACAGTCACAGTAACCTTGCAATACGTCCACCCAGAGAGTCATTATGGGCATTGGATGGGACAGACAATCAGCTGTTTGGGGCAGGAACCTTCTTTTAATTCTGTCTGTACAGCACCTAGCACAATAGGGCTCTGGTCCATGACTCTGGTTCACAGGGCTCCAGCAATACCAATAATAAATAATAAATGATTAAATAATTGATTCTCAATTATCAGCTACCCATAGTTATTAGTCATTAAGTCTTCTCTGGATGTGCTATCCATGCTGAGGGTAAAAATTATTTCACCCAACCATTTTTCCAAGAAACAAGGGTTTTTTTCACCAAATCAGAAATGTTTCCAGGAAAATGACATTTTTGTTGACAATTTCCAGTTTTCAATCGAAACGGCAGAAACTTAACATTTTTCAATTTTTGGAAAAAATGTCTGTTTAAACAATTCTGTTTTCAAAAACAACTTTTTTATTGTAAAAGGTTTTTAACCAAAATTTTTACCCAACAGCAAATGCTTTTACCAAAAACTGAAACATTTGTCCCAAAATGCTTTTTGAAACTGAAGTTTTTTATGAACCATTGGATATTTTTATTATAACATAATATTGTTACAAAGAACTGTTTTTGAAAAAAATGATTTTGGGGGGTTTGGTTTTTGTTGCAAAAACCAAACCAAACAAAAAACCCCAAACAATTCTTGTGGAATTCTTGTGGATATACCACTCTGGGATCCTTGGCAAGCATCTTGGACTGAGGTTTTCCAGCTACAAATTTAAACAACTGAGGCAGGAACAAGTGGGAGTGTTTGTCATGACGCTGTGTTACCCATTCTTCCTCTCAGTGGGAAAATGACTCCTCAGAAATTGTTGACTTATGGCCTAAAAACTGAAAATGGACTTTTTTAGATTTTTTTAAAGGTTTTCAGCAAAGAAAAAACAAACTATTTTGCCCCAAACCACAAAATTTTACACCCAATCCTGCTGAAAACTGGAAAATAGTCAGATAAAAACCTTTCAGCTTTGGCAACTGGAATAACAATCCCTTGTATATAAACACACACACACACACACACACACACACAGAGAGTTTTTCCCTCAACTGGGTGTGGAACTAAGGAATCCTGACTCTCACATCCCCATGCTTTACCCATTAGATTCCACACCCCTCCCAGAGCTGGAATAGTACCCAGGAGTCCTGACTTCCAGGCCCCCCAATCTAACCTACTAGGCCCCGCTCCACTCCCAGAGCCAGACATAGAACCCAGGAGTCCTGGCTCCCAAGCAACTGCAACTTCCCTTCACCTGCCTAGCTCCTAGCCAGGGCTTTTCGGAGTGCCCCTTTCACCTCCTTCTTCCTCAGTGTAGATAATGGGGTTGAGCATGGGGGTGACGATGCCATAGAGCATGGGCTGTGCCCAGTCCTGATGCTGTGGGTAGGTGGAGTTGAGGTGAATGTAGGTGAAGATAACGATGCCAAAGTAGAGGCTGACCATGACCAGGTGGGAGGTGCAGGTGGAGAAGGCCTTGAGGTGCCCTTCGCTTGTGCGGATCCTGAGGACGGCCAGCACAATGTACACGTAGGACACCAGGGTCCCCAGCAAGGAGTCCAGGATCACGGCACCACTCAAGGCAAAGGTGATAGCCTGGTTGGCCCAGGTATTGGAGCAGGAGAGCTGAAAGAGTGGGAGGATGTCACAGAAGAAGTGGCGGAGGACGTTGCCCCAGCAGAAGGACAGGATGGATATCAGGGATGAGTGCACAGTCGAGTTGGTCATGCCCATGACCCAGGCTGCTGCAGCCAGCAGGGTGCATGCCCGCCGGCTCATGAACGTGCCGTAGTGCAGATGGTGACAGATGGCAACATAGCGGTCATAGGCCATGACCCCCAGCAGCAGGCACTCGATCCCCCTGAAGGAGATGAAGAAGAACATCTGACAGAGGCAGAAAGCCCATGAGATGGACTTGTCCTGTGACAGGTAATTGGCCAACATCTTGGGCATGGTGGAACTGGTAGAGCCAATGTCCACCACTGAGAAGTTGCCCAGGAGGAAGTACATGAGTGTGTGGAGCCTGGAGTCCAGGCTGATCAGCGGTAAGATGAGCATGTTGCCCATCAGGGCCACCAGGTAGATGGCTGTGAAGACCCCAAAGAGGGTGAGCTGCTCCTGCAGGTTGCTGGAGAGACCTAAGAGGATGAATTTGGTCACTGAGGTGCTGTTCTCCCCCCTCATCGACTCCAGGAGGTCCATCTCCTACAATCAGAGGAAGGGCAGTGGTGTGATAAGTGGGTCAACAAATTCACCCTCTTTGTGAGCTCAACTGTAAAAAGCATATGAAAGTTCTTAAGCTGTCACAACGACCTACAATAACAATAACACCTACTCCAACTGAATCCCAAACCCCACCCGAGATGAAATGGGATCGAACTTCAACAGCAGCTTCTACGACAACAACTGTCAAAACTCTAATCATAGAATCATAGAACTGGAAGGGACCTTGAGAGGTCATTTAGTCCAGTCCCCTGCACTCATGGCAGGACTAAGTATTATCTAGAATATCCCTGAGAGGTGTTTGTCTAACCTGCTCTTAAAAGTCTCCAATGATGAAGATTCCACAACCTCCCTAGGTAATTTATTCCAGTGCTTAACCATGCTGACGAGAAGTTTTTCGTAATGTCCAAGGAAAACCGCCCTTGCTGCAGTTTAAGCCCATTGCTTCTTTTCTTATCATCATAGGTTAAGAAGAACAATTCTTCTCCCTCCTCCTTGTAACAACTTTTTATGTACTTGAACACTGTTGTCATGTCCCCTCTCAATCTTCTCTTCTCCAGACTGAACAAGTCCAATTTTTTTTCAATCTTCCCTCATAGGTCATGTTTTCTAGACCTTTCATCATTTTTGTTGCTCTTCTCTGGACTTTCTCCAATTTGTCCACATCTTTCCTGAAATGTGGCACCCAGAATTGGACACAGTACTCCACTTGAGGCCTAATCAATGTGGAGTAGAGTGGAAGAATTAATTCTCGTGTCTTGCTTACTACACTCCTGCTAATACATCCCAGATTTATGTTTGCTTCTTTTGAAACAGCGTTACATTGTTGACTCATATTTAGGTTGTGATCCACTATGACCTCCAGATCCCTTTCCGCAGTACTCCTTCCTAGGCAGTCCTTTCCCATTTTCTATGTGTGCAGCTGATTGTTCCTTCCTACATGGAGTACTTTGCATTTGTCCTTATTGAATTTTATACTATTTACTTCAGACCATTTCTCCAGTTTGTCCAGATCATTTTGAATTATAATCCTATCCTCCAAAGCACTTGCAACCCCTCCCAGCTTGGTATCGTCTGCAAAGTTTATAAATGTACTCTCTATGCCATTATCTAAATTATTGATGAAGATATTGAAAAGAACCGGACACAGAAATGATCCCTGTGGGACCCCACTCGTTATGCCCTTCCAGCATGACTGTGAACCACTGATAATCACTCAGTGGCAGTGAACATCTCAACCTGAGTGCATGGATGGAAATCTTTATGTGGTCAGTTTTCCAGTGCTGGTGCTTAAATGTAAGTACCAGAATTTGTAGGCACCAAACTACAGCAAATTGGTTCCAGAGGTGCTGAGCACCGACTCCTCCCTGATCAGTCAGTCAGAGTCACCCTCTTCAGTGGATGAGCCACTACAGAGGGACAATGTTCCTCACTGTGTTCATGGGGGTTACAGGTGCTACACATCTCTGATAGCCAGTCCAAGAATCCAAATCCATGAAATCTGTGGTTCTCAAGCTTTTCCATTCCAATTCCCCTCCCTTCTAGCAAGGATCTAACTGGGATCTCCCTCCCATTCAGCAATGTCGGTAGGTAGGTTTAGTCATCGTGACCTCCTAGCAGCCCCTTGTTGACAACCCCTGGACTCTGAGAATCTCTGGCTATATGTACGCCTGCAAGCCACATCCTTCCCATCCCAGAATCTCTAGGCCCCAAGAGGACTCTATGGACCTTTGGAAGACTGCACCATCCAGGCTGCATGTAGATGAATGCAGACTGTGACTAGCAAGGGCCTCTTTTGGTGAGCAGACCACTCCTCTTCTCTCACAAGCACCCCATGGTTGCAGCTCCTCAGTGGTGGAGTTCCTAGGGTCGGCTGAAGCAGGGTTTCCCTGCAGCAGAACTGAGAACACAATGTTGAATTTAGAAAACTAAAGAAATTTCCAAATCCAATGTCTTTGTGAAGGTGGAGTTAACATTGATTTAATATCAGTAAATTTCTGTTTTTTTCCTGGTAGATTTTTAAGAACACAAAATGGAAGAGCAGAACCTAACCACCCCAGTGACAGAATTTGTCCTCTTGGGCCTCATCCAGAATCCTGACTTGCAGCACTTCCTCTTTGTGGTTTTCCTCATAGTTTACGTGAACACCTGGCTAGGAATCTTCATCATCATCACCGTGATCACCAACCACCGACTCCATACCCCCATGTACTTCCTGAACTTGGCTTTCCTGGATGTCAGTGAATTATCAGTAAATGCTCCAAACATGCAGGTCTCCTTTCCCAGTGTAAAACTTGTTCAGTGAGTGCATCCTCCAGATGTTCTTCTACCACTTAATTTGTTTTGTGGGAATGGTGATCGATCGGTATGTGGCCATCTATAAACCACTGCGGTACTTGAGTATCATGAACCAGGATGTGTGAATGGGACTAGTGGTGCTGGCATGGGTGGGTGGATTGGCTCACTCTGCTGTTCAGCTTTGACTGCTCCTCCAGCTACTGTTCTGTGGTCCAAATGTCCTGGACAATTTCTACTGTGATGTCCCACATGTCATCAAACTGGCCTGCACTGACACCCACATGGTAGAACTGCAGATGGTCTTCAATGGTGGAGTGCTGCTCATAATAGTATTAATTGTTCTGCTTATTTCCTACACCATCATCTTAGTGAAGATCAGGACACACATCACAGAAGGGAAATGCAAGGCTCTGTCCAAATGAGGAGCCCAGATTTCCATGGTAGGTTTACACTTCATACCGAGCATCTTCAACTATGTTGAGTGATTTTTAAGTGTCTAAAAGCCAAAGTCCATTGTGAATCTAGCCCTAAGATCCATAACCCTTTAAAATCAGCTTCCGTCACACAGATTGAGGTGTAGCAAAACCTAATGTGTCATGGGGGGCATCTGCATTGCCTTTCCTCCAAGCTCTCTGCATAAATACTGATACCACACCTGTCACGATTGTACTTGAGCACCTCACGATCCTTAAAGCATTTAACCTCACCACACTCCTGCAAAGTAGG